AAGGCGCGACCATAGCGAGTTTCTTTGCCCGAAGGGCAAACAAACTTACTGTACTAGTATATGATATTTCCAACATGAAAACAAATTCCGTACCATTGCAACCATCATTTCCTTGCATGGTCCGCATAAAACATCACATAATGCGTCATAACTGAGTTTGGTGTCAATTTTCATATCATCAAAACTCAGGACGCATTGCTTTTCAAAATCATCCATTATGTGTCCCTGATGCGCCATAAGATGGAGGAATTCATGCTGAAGTCCTGGAGCACATTTGCCAAACCAAGAGGCAGAGGTTGACAGACCAGGAAGTGAAAATTTGAGTTTTTCTGCAACATATATGAATGCTTTGGTGGAGAGAGCCCTGAGACACAAAAGAATTCACCAATTCGCCGTGGCCCCACTGTTTTGGCCTCTTTCCTCCCTTGAGAACGTGTAATTTTGCTGAAGAAAAATGTCCTTTCATCAATTTTGCATGAGCGCTTTCGTTCATTCGTGTTTTGGAGATCTCGTCAAGGTTTTCCTTGAGACATTTCACATCTTGAGTTTTCCTTTTCCATATTGAGTTTAAGATTTTCTGACCTGACTTTCTAATTTTACTTTCAGTCCTGATAGAATTTTCATTTTCATTCTCAATTTCTATCTCTGAATTCGGCGCAACATGTTGATAGAATTGAGTGATTTGTCATTTCAGATATCTCTTCACTCACTACTTTACTTTGCTTTGGTACTTGATCTTGATCAAGGTGTAGTAAGACAAAGATCCAGTAAGACAAAGTGGAACAGCCAATCTTTTTTGAAGCTTGTTCTTATGCTCCCCTTCGTAGTCACGAAGAAGAAAATGATTGGATAAAACAACACTGCTTGTCCCATCGTGAAAGTCCATTCGACCACAACCTGAAAACCATTTCTCTCTTGCTACATCATCGTGTGGTACTAGGTGGATGGTCGTGGGCGGATCATAATGACGTCAATTTCACTATGAATTTCTGGAGGTTGGTACAACGAATGATTGTCCGCTGCTTTCACCAATTTTAAATCTGCTTTCAAAAGATGAAGATGATGCGTAAAAGAGAGGAGCCGAGTAGAATGTCAAAGGAAAAGCATGGAAGAAAGGAAAAAAAGGACTAATGGGAACGAGAATCAAAGACATAGCCTCGGATCTGCAACGCAGTCAGAGAAAAGAAACAGAGCGAAAGCCAGACGAAGCTGCCTCGGCGAGGGCTGAAAAGGGAACGAGTGGAATATGAGGAGTCACTGCCTTTTATAGTGCTTTAAATTTAACGGCAGGTGAAAAAAGTATTCACCCACCTGGCCATTCTGGAAGACGCTGGCTCCATATTACCTGCTTTTTCACATGGAAAACGTCTCTCCAACACGTCATCAAACGATCTTATCTATTTCCAACATGTGTGGTTTTTCACATCAGTGAGGACAGGCCCAGTTCGCGACAAAAGTAACATCAAAGTGATCCAATCCACACCGGTCCTCTCTAATACCCATTTCCTAGTCTCGCTCACCTTGAAGATGCATGAGGCTCTGACCTTCCTCTCCCTTTTCATCCTCCTCTATTCCGTTACCGGGACAAGCGGACAAAATCCGTGTCCCGATCCTACAGAAATCCTCCCCTGCATTTGCAACCATTATCCGACCGACGGCACTGTGACTGTGGGCTGTTCGGCAGCTGCCTCAAGTGACGAAATCTACTCTGCCTTCAACGACGCTACCTGGCCCTCCAAAAATCTCACGTAAGCTGATGTGAGCAAGATCGAAGAAACAGCTCCTTGCACGCCAAGCAGAGCTAACGTAATGCCAAGTTTCAGGAAAGCATTCATTCTTTCACATCCCAGTCGCAATTGGGTAAGAATAAAGCAAAGTGCAGCCCCAACGTGAATACACAATGACTCCCTGCTTTCGTCGTTCCTTTTTCGCAATGGAAAATTTCCGGATACCAATGGAAAACAGATCATAAGGGTTCTCCACAAACTTTCCCGCCCAACTTGCACGGTCTTTCCATTCATCGATCGCCCCGCGAAAGTAGTTTTACACCGAAAAGTACCTTCTATTATGAAGTGTGAATTGCGTCGCTTCGATGTTTGGATATTAGATTCCTTGACTAGTTAAAATTTCAGCGCTTTCGTGATGATTGATGCAGAATGTTCACGTTAAATACTTTGGCGTGCTCCGAATTATGGAAGGTGTGAACGGCGTACTTGAATCGCTTCGAAAACCAATATGAAAATTTCAGCGCCTCTTCATTGACCCAGTGAGACCATGAAAAGAATCCTGGGCCCACCAACACTCCTTAATTCTTGGTGATCTGTGTGTGGCAATGAATTGTTTCTTACAGTCCCAGGTGGGGAGTTGGAAGAATGTTTCGCCAATATAGATTGGGATTTACTTCATATGGCACTTCGCGTAACGTTCTTTTTACAATAAAGCAAAGATCGATTATGGTTTGTACTCTTAAGAAAACTGAGTCTAACATTTTAATGAGATCCTTCACAGTGGAATCCTCGGGTTCTCACTGCAGCTGGAATTTACTCATATTTTCAAACTGTTTGCAGAACCTTTTCTCTGAACGCAAACTTGGGAGTAAAAGAATTGCCCAGAGGAGTTTTCGGCGATATCAGTTTCGAGAAAATTGGCGTTACCTGGACTTTTGTGGCCAGCATCCATTCCGCTGACTTGTTATCATCGAAAGATCGACTTTGGAGGGTGTCCATCCAGGAAAGCTCCCTAGAAGAATTCCCTTGGGAGATCCTCCCGCAACTCACCAACCTCAAGGCTCTCTATCTCAACAGCAATCTTCTCACCAGTGTACCTCGTCTTCAAAGTGCAAGTCTGGAGCACTTCGAAATCAGCGTAAATGATGTAGTTCATCTCGAGGCTGGGTGGTCTCTCCCAAATCTGAGAAATCTCTTGTTGGGTAAGTATGAAAGCCTTGAATGTTACGACTTAAAAAGAAATGACTTGGTTCATATCTTCGAATCGTTTCATAGAGTTGGCAATGTGGATACGTGTACTCCTTTTTTGCGAGGAACGCACATGCGAATTGCGATGCCGATCCTGAAGGGCTCACGGGAACTCATGTTTTACCTTCCGTGACCAAATTTTGTATCAAAAATTGCAATAAAATGTCATTTCGGCGCGAATTCGCCAAAAGAGAACTACGACTGCAACTTGTTCATATCTGCCTGCTTGCCAATTTTCACTTTGGTCAGACCAACTCTTTCTTAGTTATCGACGTACAACCAAAGTGTAGCTGACGGAAGCACGACCACACGAACACATTCACGCACAAGAAAGACAGGAAGGAACGATAAGTGGTCGCTTTCCGTTAACCTTGCGCTACACACGGCCTCAAATGCAAGCGCATTCTAGATAGAGGCACGTAGCTCTCCTTTTCTCATTGAATTTGTGTATTTGCCACAAGGCGGGTAACACAGGGTCGCAGTGAATGTGAGATTATTGCCAAATATGTGCTTGACCGCCTTCGACCTCGAGATATGCTCGAGGGAACGTTTCCTTTTCTTGCCTAAACAGATAAGTTTTTTGGGATGGTATACCTAATTACTAGAGAGTTGCTTCCCGTTGGGAAAATAAATTCGCTGTGGACGCGACTTCGGGGCTTTACGATGCGAGAAAATCACCAATGCATTTGAAGCAACGAGGTTCCATGTGCACACATACCAATGCAGCGAAGCTCTTTGGGGGCATTGTATTTTTCCTTCAAGTTAGTTGAGTTTATCTCCTTTTAGTTTAAGAATTGTGGTTAGTGGTGCAAAGTGCTAAGAAAATCGTGTATCCTAAGGAAACGGAGAATCTCACCCGAATCGTGTCTTTGGAATCATTCCACTATACAGCACCATTCATAACACAACAGTTAGAATAATTTTTGTGTGCGAAAATTTTCAAAGTTTCCCATTTCCCCATCTCTGGGAAATGAGCCTTGGGTGAGAGAGGACACAAATCTTAGTATTCTCCCAAGAAGTTATGGCAGAAAAAAATTAAAGCCCTCTAGGGGGAGCATCTGCAATGTATCACTTCTTTTTTTTAAATCCTAACGTCAGACCAGTTACATATCCCCAGAATAGGGCATGGAATTAATGACTGTCACTTATATTGTTACTTTTCCAAAATCATTTATTACTGGTTTAGTAAAATTATGGCACACATATTTCGAAGTTAGTTCATAGAACTCACTCGAGTCTTCCCATTCTGTTATTGGGTTCGATTCTTCCACCGAAGTGCATATGTTCTTGGACAAAACTGCCACATTGGAAATGTTGCCTTACTTTTAACGCTATTGACGTATTAATTTTCGCGCTATAGATTTCGAACTTGATCCGAGCGGCTTTCATCGTACTGTCCCGCGAGTGGGCGGGTGCCAAGAAGCATATTTCGGCAATTCAAAGTCCAGTGGCTATAAAGAAAGTTTTCGCTCGTCTCGTTCTCAGGCGTTTTTTCATGCTAGTGGAGATGTTCATGAGAGAAAACATAATGGCCGACCTCGTCCCGTTCGAATGCCGTAACTTGTCCAGAAAGGGAAGGCGCGAACGAGGCGAAACCCTTAGCGTTAAGGCTGCATTTTGGCGATCAGGAAGAAGTCCTTGCATTCATCCCACATGGCAATTGCTGAAAGTGGAACTAGGGTAGAAGATGCGAACGAATGAAATACTCCACCATCTTAAAAATCTTGCAAGGAACGAAAAATGTCGAGCTGTGCTTCAAGGGTTCACGCTTAACAAAGTGAATCAAATCCTGTTCTCTGATGAGAAACTGTTCGATTTGGACGCAAGTCATGTCATCTAATATGACATGACCTGTGAAAAGGATAGAGAAGTCATATTCATTGTCGGTGATGGATTGCTCTCGTCCACCATGAGCAAGTCTTCGATCCACTTCGTTTCACTCCTCACACCTTATAACGGCGATACTTCAGAGCGATATTTGTGAAGCAAATTTATATGAGCGAGATATGCAGCCCTGTGCGTACGATGCGTTAATGTACTTACAGGGTACTTATAGTACTTACAGGGAGTAACTGATCATATTCCCCTTTTAGTAAATTACTTATTTATTTTGATTTCATTAATTTTTTGCACTTTACTAGAATTTATAAAGCAAATACTGGATTTATTGCACCCTCTGCAGGTTGGAATCCAATACCAGATATCCCGGCTGGATTCTTCAGGGATATGGGGAACTTAGAGAGCTTTGTTTGTTACGGCTGTGCCCTCGGACCAACACTGTCGACCAAATATTTGGAATTCCACAGTATAACCATAAAAGAAATTACCATAGTTGACAACTCAATCTCAACTCTGCAGGTGGATGCGATCACAGGTATTATTAATTTTCTGCACTCACATCGAGTGCTCATGGTGATCTTTATTCCTATTGCCACCATTTCATTGGATGCAGCACACGTGCTACGACAAGTTCTTTCCTGTGCGAGATTGTTTATTTTCCCCATTCCAGGTTTGCAGGCCAATACGAGTCTAAGAATTTCAAGTAATGAAATTCGGGAATTGACAGAGGTATCATTTCGCCCCATGCTGGAGGTGCTCTCAGTGGGCACTGGCCACATCAATATAGGCGGTGAGATCTTCCTTGATCACAATGCTCCATGACGTAGTCTTTCACGCCCCCACCCCCTCATCCGGTTTTCTGCATTGCAGGTAACCCCGTGGAGTGTGACTGCAGCATAGCATGGGTAGTGCTTAATCCCTCATTTCTGCCAAGAGTGTGGGGTGATTGCACGGATGGAACGGATTTTCAAGACTTGGATCCGATCATTTTTGAAGACTGCGCTAGGCGTGACCCTCCTTTGGAAGGCGACTATTCAACTTGGATCAACTCTGGAATGATGTAAATGTGAATACAGGGTGGAATTGATTCTTTTTGGCCATGGCTACTCGAATCTGTCTCGAATACAGTGCTCAAGTGCTCAAAAGCGAAAAACGTTAAAGGTTCAAGGTTTTTTAGCGATATCAAGAGGTGATACACCCATTTGAATACCATGTGTGGAGGTCAAGTGTTCCTTAATTTTAACGTAGACCTACTACTCTCCAAGCTAAATATTTCTATATTTTGTGATGCTTATTATTATTGGTTATTCTAATTTCTTACTGCAGAGTCCCTTAAGCCAGAATTGCCCCCCTTCTTGCTTGTCCATAAAAGCATTTGGTTTCTTCTTAAAAAAAATTGTCACGAAAGGGACACAAAAAAGGACTGCATTGAACTGGGAGAACTTGCTACACTCGACAATATTTATTCTTTTAATTATCTTGAAAACCTGGATGAGATCGCCCCTCCTTAACCTTCTCTCGAGGGTGTATTGTCCCAATACTTCTAAACGCTTCTTGTACGGAAGTCCCTTTGCCTCCTTAACCCTTTCCTGGGCAAGGGGTGTCTATTGGACCCCTACTACGTTCCTTGTACACGTACATGCTATCCCCTGATTCCTCCATATGTCACAGATTTATCGCCTAATGTTTTTGTCAGAAGGACCTTCTGGCACCTGAGTTAAAGAGAAAAAGGGGGGGGGGGCGGAAGAGGGGAATTCCTTATTATTTCATATTTACACCCATTTGGATACCACATGTCGAGGTCGAGTGTTCCATGATTTTAGAGTAGGCCTACTCCTCTTCAAGCTAAATATTTCTATTTTTGTGATACATTTTCTTTCATATGGCATATCCTAGTAGCTTACTGGCTAGTCCCTTAAGTCAACATTGCCCCCCCCCCCCAATCGATTGTCCATAAAACCTCTAGTTTCTTCTTAAAAATAGTTACAGAAGGGACAGAAGAAAAAAAGTCCTTTCTCGACCTGAGCCGCACTAGTGGTTTACGCACCTTTAGTTGATTACCTCTCGTTCGTTCGCCGCCATCCCCCTAGCCTTGCCCTCACGCAAGTACTCTACCTTCCGTAATGATTCTCGGCATCGTCGGTCAAGTTTCAATCTATGGCATCTCTGTCCTCCGCTGTATACTCCATCCATCCACATCTCTAAGTAATCACTATCTTGTTCTGGTTCTGGAGACAGTGGATATTCTCCTTCACACCTGGAAAGAGAAAATATTATAAGGGCAGAGGGAATGGACGAAGCGGAATTGGACGAAAGTGAATAGAGCGATGTGGAACAACATTCGTTGCCTATTATACAAATTTTTGAAAAAACATTTTTTCGAATAACAAATTCTTCGAACAGCGAATTTTTCGAATCAATTGGCGCGGTAGCGCATATTACCTTTCTTCAACCCCTTCCAGCGACAAAATTCAACGGTCTCGTATTCCTCTCTGAAAGTATCGACGTGAATGAAATGCGGCATACTTCTTCCTCTCTCAACACAGAATCACCCCAGCAAATTTGAAGCTCCATCTCCCCGACGTCGTGGAGATAACTGAATCTCGCTTTAGNAGTCGCTGCAAGAACATGTTCTTGATTTTGACGAAAGATATCGTTCCCATGCTCACTTCAAATCCTTTTCCATTCGCATCAGTGGGATTCATTGCGGGAGGGTGAATGAAGAGGCGAAATCCGTTTGAAAAACGGTAATCACAGTTGTAGGGCGAGGGATGAGATTTCAGTACGAGTTGTAATCCTTCCTGCGCAATACGATTCGGAAGAAATGAACATGTCAAATCCATTTCTCTGCTTGAATGCTGGAAAGGCTCTCACCGATGGATTCTTGCCGTCGTGTAATGATAATTTCTCCGGTTCCCACAATTTGCGCTCGACTGCCCTTTCTCCGTCATCGTTGAAAGTGATGCAGTTAGGACGTCGTTTCGTTAGGAAGTCACTGCGAAAATTCATGTTTTCAAATGTCTTACCTTTCTAATGTCCCCTATGAGCTCAAACTTTGTTTCTCAAGCAAATTCACATTTTTCTTCGTTTGTTTCCACAAACGTTGTGTTTCCTTTTAAGAATCGAAAATGACGCCGTAATGACGTAAAGAACTTATCCCAAACCTAAGTTTGAGAAAATTGTCTAACTCTTGATTGTCTTTTGATTACTTGTCTAATTGTCCATGAGGGTGGACGATCCATGAAGGTGGGAACTTATTTGAGGGAAAGTAAAAGGTACTTACGATTTTGTGCAATCTCGCGAATCAAAGCTGCAATGGGCTACGTGCAGCAGTTCTTTCTTGAAAGAATAATACAAATTCGGATTTTTCAGACTTTCTCTGAAACCACCCGTTTCATGTAAATGCTTCCAATTGTCGCTGTTATTCAATAAGTTGAATAAAGTAGCTCCCTCAATACTCGACGATGAATTTCCTGCAAAGGAAAGTTGTCTTTCCTTCTTATAAGAAATTGTATCACGGTAAAACAATAGGATGACGAGATATGCCTACANGCATGCATTTATTTCATGCAGTAATGTGAAAAGCAATTTTCAAAGGATTTAACTTTCTTCAAACCCAACCTCAACTTAACATCACCTCACCTTCCTCTCCCACCTTCATCCCCCACCTTCTCCCACCACATTCCCCCAACACCTTCCCCCCGCGACCCTTCTCTACGGATCTCACTAACGTTAGGACTGGGCCTAACCGCTGCAGTGTCTTCGGGTCACGCCTAGGCTTATCGTTTTTTCGATACAAAGAGACTCAATCCTCGACCTACGGACCAATTAGGCCAATAAGGATTTATCCATGGATTTCGAAGCATCTCGTTGAGGACATATAACGTTAGGCCTATTCAGTCTCACGGCACATTTAACAGAGAACGTATAACGTTAGACCGATTATAGTTTTTTCTTGTTTCATGAATCGTTTCTGTGACTTCGGGAAACATTTGGCCTATCCAGAGTTCCTCGAACCGTCTCGAGTCGTTCCGAGAAGAAAATGCCTTTAGAAAGCATGACATACAAGCTGGTTGCCATTATGCTAATTGTGGGATGTTCGGAGGAGATATATTCGTATTCCACCAAATCGATCGCCTACTGCAAACAAACGTTTCATTCTCAGCTCGTCCCGTAAACTCAGTACAAAAATGTATTCTGCATGAAAATGAGAAGATCCAGACAACCATGCTCAGGCCAAAGAAGGCATGAATCTGACGGAACTCCGACTCGATATCTGGCAACACTGCGGGGCCAGGACCGGAGTCATCACGCTAAAAATAAATTAATGCAGTCTACTTTAATTTATGATGGCGAAATGGTGAATTGGAAGCTATAAATAGGGCAATTTTCGTCACCGACTCGGCAATATATTTCGTTTATTAGGTCTCTTTTCTCCCCAAGAATTTCACTCCGGTATTTTTTTTCACATATTCTAAGAACGAGATTCGGTGATCTCCACAACCCGAGGAGATGGAGCTTCAAATTTGCTGGAGCAATTTTGTGCTAAGAGACGAAGAAATATGCCAACTTTCGTTTCTGTTTATGTTCTTAGAAAGGAACAAGAGACCGTTGGGTTTTTTTTTTCTCCGGAAGGGATTGAAGAAAGGTAATGGGAGCTTCCGCGCCCATCGGTTATGTAACCACTACCATTTAACCATGTAACCACTGCTACTTTCACACAATCTCTAATGTTGACTCGACAGACTTCGGATTAAGACAGAAAAGCATCTTCCTCTCGTTCGTGTTTCTCATTTTCTCCTCTCCCATCCAGGTGATGAGATCCAGGAGCAACACCTCCTCGCGATTCATCTGCGTCGAGGATAATGACCAGGAAAATGCCTTCTCTCTGAAAAAAAGATAAACTGATTTCATTCTTTTTTTATCACTATGTGCAGAGTGTGTATATAAATTTTCACTTACGAACAAGTTTGACGAGGACAATCACAGAACCCTTTAGAATTAAATTCCCCAAGCATCTTGTTCTCGATGTCTTCTGGACCTTTTTCCAAGAATAATACAAAATCTCTACATTTCAAATATTATAATCAAGATCATATTGCTCGCCTCCATGATGAAAAATCTCTCAATCGCTCACGAAATCAAACCTAATCAGACAAGCGAGATTTTCCCATATGAAGAAAAGTGATCTTACATGCGGCTGCTCCGTCCGCTCCACTGCCCTTTCTCCGTCACCGTTGAAAGTGATGCAGTTAGGACGTCGTTTCGTTAGGAAGTCACTGCGAAAATTCATGTTTTCAAATGTCTTACCTTTCTAATGTCCCTATGAGCTCAAACTTTGTTTCTCAAGCAAATTCACATTTTTCTTCGTTTGTTTCCACAAACGTTGTGTTTCCTTTTAAGAATCGAAAATGACGCCGTAATGACGTAAAGAACTTATCCCAAACCTAAGTTTGAGAAAATTGTCTAACTCTTGATTGTCTTTTGATTACTTGTCTAATTGTCCATGAGGGTGGACGATCCATGAAGGTGGGAACTTATTTGAGGGAAAGTAAAAGGTACTTACGATTTTGTGCAATCTCGCGAATCAAAGCTGCAATGGGCTACGTGCAGCAGTTCTTTCTTGAAAGAATAATACAAATTCGGATTTTTCAGACTTTCTCTGAAACCACCCGTTTCATGTAAATGCTTCCAATTGTCGCTGTTATTCAATAAGTTGAATAAAGTAGCTCCCTCAATACTCGACGATGAATTTCCTGCAAAGGAAAGTTGTCTTTCCTTCTTATAAGAAATTGTATCACGGTAAAACAATAGGATGACGA